AACTAAACTTGGTCCGCGTTTCCAATGTTACCTATAGCTAGATTCCGTTAAGTACTACCTATACTATAAATAATCAACTCTCACATATCCTCAATTTTAATTGGTTTAATTTTCTAGAATTTTTGAAAATTAGAATAAAAATTTGAATTTGTTGGTGGTGAGAATTGAACCCTATGTTTATCAATTACTAAATTAGGAAAAGACCGGTCTATAACACTGAGCTGAGATAGCTATGAAGATAGAAGAAAGAAAACGCTCACTTTTTTGTGACACGAGTGAGTTTTCCGTTAATTAAATTTATGTCACAATTTTGCACGTGTTTTTTCAAGACGGTTTATTGGTTTAAAAAATTTTTTTTCGGGTTGACTCAGCGAAAATCGTCGTTTTCTTTCGCCTCGATAGTATCACCCGGATGAGAAAAAAAGTGAGCATTTCCGAATAGTAATTTTACATATAAAAAGTGACGATACCGAGGTGAAAGAAAATGAAAATTTTCGATTTATCCAATTACAGTTGTGTGATAAAAATAATTCTCAATATTTTTTCCGATAAAAAAAAGTATTATGAATTTTTATTATAAATGATCGATTTTTTATTAAATGTATTCTCGTATTACTAGTAAATTGATTTAACGAACCGAAGTGAATTTTATGTGATAATTCCTTGTGTGACAAAAAATTTAGATGCAATTAGATTTCAGTTTTACTAATATTAAAAATAATACATTCGTTAAAAAAAATATATATTTCTTTTTTTTATGTCACTGGAAAAAATAGCTTGATTAAATAATTATTTAATGTTCTTTTTGATTTTTTTTTAATTAAATAAATAAAGAAAATTAGTAATCGTCATAATATAATTTATAAAAAATCTATTTAAATATATTTTAATTTTTAATATTTTTTTTATTTTTTCGTTTGAAAATTTTATTAGTTTTTTCCCGTTTTCGAAGATTACATCCGCGATTATCACAACCTTCACGATTTATATGGTTTATTAATTTCCATTCAGGATGTAATAATCTATGAAATAACGGACCGCTATCTGATGATTTAACATGATATGTGTTACATTCTCTGGATTTATGACAATACCAAGTATATTTTCTTAGAATATCGATTTTATCAAGATCTGTTAAAAAGGTCATTTTAGAAATTCCAGATGATTTAACTTCGATAAATAATGTTGCATTTATCTCAACAACTCGATAATCGTTTAGCACAAGTCTTGGAGGATCGTCAGAATTTTTGATTCTGCTCCAAGCAGATAAGACTTCGAATGATGGGAAAATTTTCTTCCAGTATGAGTTTCGAGTTTCTTCTTCAAGATACATTTTAATTTAATTAAAAGATATTATATTATATTTATACTAATTTAAATATGTTGTTTATTTTAAAAATTAATCGTAACGAATGATAATTAAAAAAAAAATCTAGCTTTTATATTTTTTTAGATTACATTATATTTTCTGTGAACTTGTAATAACTTTTTTAAAAAAAACATAAAAATTAATTTAAAATAATTTATATATGTATTTTAAAAGTCTACGTTTGGTTAATCTAAATTTGAACATCGATTAACCAAAAGTAGAATATTATAAAAATATGTGATAGTTAAAAATTATATATGTATTATGTAATCGTGATAGTTAATTTTATATATTAATAAATAATTAAATAATATTTACGTAGTGTATGTTTTAATTTAAGTATTTTTATTAATTTATTTTTGTTGTTTTTTTATTTTAGTCAAAAAAAAAAAGAATGATATTTTTAAAATTGTTTTATATTTTCGAGACAATCCTAGATCTGAGATGGAAGATTGCATTTTTTCGATTTTGTAATATATTGTCACTAGAATTACCAATATTTTCAATATTATTTAGTTTATTAAAAGGAATCCATTCAATCACTTTCTCATACGAATTAGTTCTAAGTTGAAAGTCTTTCACATAGTTATCAATATCTTTATTTCTATTTGTCTATCCTTGAATTGTTTTGCTGGGATTATTTTTTTTGTGATATTTGTGAATTCGATAAAACTTACTCTCTAAAAGATTAAATAGTTTGAGAATATTTAAGTTTCTAATTTAAGATAAATAATTTAATATAACAACCAGCCTACTTGAAAATTCAATCTTCGTATTTATCCTAATTATATTCTACACCAATTCCATATCCGTAACGAATGACAGTTTCAAAAATTCCATTATAATTATCTGCAGATGATTTTTGATATATAAATGCTTTATGCTTATCTATTTCAACATTAATTCCTGAATAATAACAATAGCCAACTTGATAAATTTCGTTAGAATCATTCGTATCTGAAGATTTTTTATAATGAATGAACGTTTGATTTTCAACTTTTTCAACTCCAATTCCGTATTTGTAACAGTAACTAAACCAGAATATTCCGTCTGGATTATTTATATCTGCAGATTTTTGATAATAAACAAAATTTAGTTGATTAAGAATGCTAGTCATTTTAATAACGTCATACTTTTTCTATTATTATTATTAGTATTTTTAAAGATATATAGAACTTTAATATCTATTCTGATTTTTTATAATTCAACTAAACTTGGTCCGCGTTTCCAATGTTACCTATAGCTAGATTCCGTTAAGTACTACCTA